ACACACACACACCCAAAGAAAAAAAGACAACCAAAAGGTTGGGGAAGAAACAATTTCGTTAGGAGTTCGATTTCTTCTGCGCATTTTCTCTTCTATTACAAATGAAAAGATGTTTTATTCGACACTAAGGTCCTTGCTGCTTGTTAACCATTTTGGGGCTCGTTAATTACAGGTCCATCAAATATTGTATCAATTGAGTCTGAAGAACAGTTCAATACTTCACTTCGCAAAGTACAAGGTATTTCAGTGTGATTAGGCTCAATAACATACCTGTTTTATGTCTTTTGGCTCCTACACTTGCTAAGCATCTGTACATATTGTTGCAGATGAATCTTTGCCCGCAATATTTTACTTCACTGCTGTCTGGTGTGGGCCCTGTAAGCTAGTTAATCCTTCTTATCGATGCATAATTTCTAAGAGGAATTGTTATGCATAAATTTCTATTCGCTTCATTTACCTTTCTTTGAAGACCGCTCATTGAACATCATGTCAAACCAATGAAAAGGACAATGGCTTGCTCTTCAATTAGCCTTTCTTTAATAAGTAACTAATTTTTCTAGAAAAGCATCTCCTGGATGTTATAAGTAATTACTTCTCTGCTCCATTCTTTTTCCAGGTAGGCTGTTGTCCCCTGTAATTGGCCAATTGAGTGAGAAATACCCTCATGTGACAACATATAAAGTTGACATTGACAAGGTAAAGAAATGTCTTCCTGTTGTAATGTCTCTTGGATTCCTTTCAGGAACCCTTAAATGTGTCATGGAACCCACTCTTCTGGGGTGCTGCTATGGGTCAATTCTCCCTTTCTTTCTTTCTTTTCTTTGGATAAGTTGTTTATGTTTTTTTAAGGAATCGCCAAACTAGTGCTCATATACAAAAAGAAGCTACATCAGGCCACTAAGATATATCTATATGCTAAAGTACAACATCAGATCATCTATAAAGTAGTGTAGCCCTCCTTTTGCCAAATAACAACAGAACTGAGATTTGAGTCTCCAGATTGTTGATGCCATGATTGTCCAGATCATCAGCAATGTCTCAATTGTTATCAACAGCAAAACTCTAACCAAAAGCATACTCATTTGCCACCGCATCCCAATTGGCAAGTGAATACTGAATATCCATGTATTCCTGTTTTTCACTCCTTTCTGTTGCCCCAACGATCATAGTTATGCTGTTAAATCTGTTGGAATTCCCATACTCTTCCTTTCAAACACGTTCCAGATGATCTCCACCTATTCTAACCCACGTAGATCATCGCTTTTTTATTCCGTGAGGTGCCTGACACTCCAGTTGTTTTCAATTTACTTGACAACTACCCCTTTTGTATTTATGCTCTCTATTCCTTTATAATTCAATGGGGATGTTAATCTCTTCAGTTCAAACATGTTCCTCCCTTCCTTTCAGATTTCTGATTGACAGAGAGATTACTATTCTTCCCTTCTTGACAAGCAACCAGCGTCACTAGTTATATTTGGTCTCACTATAACTACTGTGTGGCCTGAAAGATTTAGCTTGATAGCCATAACCTAACTTTGACATGCTGTCTGTCTTGGACTCTAGATTTGAGTTTAGTGAATCTTCTTTTATGTTATACATATCGAGAAAATAAGCATCAGAATTGGATAAAAATAAAAAAATAATTTTAAAAAATACGTTAATAGTAGGACTTGGATAGTTATGTTAGATTCTTAATAATGTAACTCATAGGAGATCTTATGTTTTTCTGCTCTTTGTACCTGTAGAACTTTCTAGTTTATTTCTATCCTTTTTGGTCTTCTGGCCGATATGATCACCGATAAAATTGAGTCTTGATTCCAGATTGTGGCTGTTCAGCAAACTTTAGAAGATTATGGAGAAACTCTCGTGGAGTGTGTGTGAAATAGATAATGGACATTTCTGAAATTGATATTAAGTTGCATATGTCTTGGATACATCTAATTTCTTTAAATTGTGCCAACCTTGAATCCTGATTTTATGACATTAGGCAATGGGGAAAGTTAACTGCCCAAACCAAACAGAAAGAACTACTGGATTGACTGGCACACACAGCTCCTTTGGTTGTTGCTTTTGTCGCATTGAACTCCAGTGTAATATTTGAAGGTTAGGGTGGTTTTAGTTACCTCATGATGGTCTCTGGCATACCTAAGTCATTAAAGTTGCAGGCTCTTAGCCAGCAGTAAGTCATGTCCACCTGATTTTATTTGATCACAAAAATTCCCATGAGATGGAACCCGTTATTACCGCTGTTGGGACATGTGTCGTCCAGCCTAGATTTGTAAGCTGCTTCTTGAAAATAATGATAAAATAGTCAAATGATCCCGTTCCTAGTCTTATCTTTGTGAGTGTTGATTCTAGTTTGACATGCTGGCACATTGAAGTGCTGAATGCCTGTCATTTCTATACATTAAGACTTGCACTTGAAGGGACATCAGCAGATAGTGTTCTTTGTGTGAATAAGCGAGGTATCTTGGAGCTTGTTGCTTGCCATCCCTCACCTGTGGGTACGTTTGGCATGCTTAGTTTGGACATTGATGAGTTTGTCTGCAGATAGCAATCGAAGTACTTTTAATATGTTTAGTCTGGATATGAGTTTATCCACTGGGTTGTTGTTGTTGTTGTGATGAGTTTATCGGCATATAGCAAGTGGATGAGTTTATATCATAGTTTGACAAAAAGGAAGAATTGGGAGAAAGAACAACATATGGCTAATTCGTTAAGATCATAGGCTTGCCTTTTGATAAAAGATGAAGTCTATGCTACGTGTCCTAGTTCGAATACTTTCTGGTAATATGTTATGATGCTTAAATTTGTTTGTTTTTTAGCCATTAGTTTCAAAAATTCCTTAGAGATTAAATTTTTGTAATCCTTTAGGACTCACTTGGTCCGTTTTGTTTCTCCAAGCTTCCTATTTTGTGGTTAATCCACTTGCATTCGATTAATCCTATCCACTTGTATACTGAGCATGTTTCCACATGCAGGAAGGGCTTGGAAATGCATTGAGCAAGTTGAACATTCACTCTGTGGTAAACATCAACTTCCTTCTTCTCCTTATCTTCTCTGAAAGCAGACACATGAATATGCAAAAGGATTAAGTCAATTTAAAGACTCTCATGATCAAGCAGTTAAACTTTATATATAACTGAGTACAAATCTTATATACATGATACTGTTATATCTATCAAAAGATTTCTAAAGAATATGTTTTCTTTGTCCATCATCATAAACATATACTTGACAAGTTTTTGTTCCAGATATTCTCTTCTGCTGTGCTGGTAAGATATATTCAGCAAGAAATATATAGTACTTTCTGTTTAGGAATTAGATATGCATGCTTTTCTACATGTAAATAACACAAAGCAGAATGAAGTTTGTTCCCAATGGATTGGTGAGTGCTTGAGTAGGAATAACAATTTGGAGATCCCAAGTTCAAATCCCAGATAACACTTTGTGTGAACCCATCTGCTCTAACCTTGTGAGTCGGTTTATCTTCATCCGGCACCTGTGCTTGTGGGTTGTAACAGACTGCTCGGTTGATTAGTGTGTGCAAGCTGGCCCGGCCACCACCTTTCATATAAAGGAGAAAAAAGAAAGCTGCTAAGTTCAAATTAGCTCGGAAAAAAATCTATAGAATATTTAATGATTAGGTTGTAGGAACTTCTAGAGATGTACTGTCCAGTAATGTAGAATGATGTTGGGCAAAGTCAATCTGGGATAGAGATTCAAGGCACGCCTTTCCAAAATAAGATGTTCTTGTTTATGAACAATAGAAAGGGCATCTTAGAGAGCATGATCCTCTAGACGCTGTCAACCCCTTGTCATGTGATGGTTATTCAGGTTCATACACTGTTGGGAAGAGAAGGTAATGCTTGGTTAGATAGAGCCACAGAGGTCCACTAGTTAATTAACTCAGGGCCACGGATGATTTATCCATTTCTCAAAATTTGAGGTTAAGTTTTAGATTGTTTTTGTGGGAAATGGACATATTGACTACAATGTGATGGCTAAATTATTGTCAAGAACAGAAAATGTTAGAAAGGAGAAACATGAAAAGAGGATTTTGTGTCATGGAGTGTGCTGGAAATACATGAAAAAGATGTAATGTTTGAGAGAGTGGAGATTTATGTCTTAGTGGAGATGCATGTACAATTAGAGAAGATTGGGTTATTCATGAGTATTCTCCTCTAGAATGTATTCAATGTGGAAATTCCAGATCATGTGATATTTCATCAAAGGGGAATACTTTGAATCAAAGAAGATAAAGATATGACAAGAGACTGAGAGCCTACTCTAGCATTATGAGGTTTTCAAAATTAAATAAAAATTGATGATTCTGGTGATGTACATTAATTAAGTTCATGGTCAGATGGTTAAACAGAAACGTCAAAATCTGGTTTGAGTTATACATGGTTCATCGGTAGTCAATTCCTCTATATAAACTAAAAAACTATTCATTATATGCAGCCTACATTACACTTCTTTCAAAATGGGAAGAAAACATCTGAAGTTATTGGTGCTGATGTTCAACGCTTGAAAGATACCATGGAAGAGCTCTACAAATGATATTTTACGTTGAAACAATTCATGTCTGTGTTGAGGCTGATATCAGTTCTGGTTCTACAAACAGTAATTATGGCGTTTCGCACTCATTCCTAGAATTTAAGTATGCTAGAATGTATTGTTATCTGGTGCTGATTGTTATATTTTGGTTTTCCTCGAAAGCTTCTTGTTCATAAGGTGTGTCTGGATGGAGGCAAAATGGCATTTCTCTTTTTTCACAGCAATTTTCTGAGTAGATTTTCTGTTATAGTCAGTAGTCTATCAAGGCACTATGGGACAATGATACAGTTGGGAATGCGATGTGCCAAAACACCCCTGAAAGCAAAACACTAGATTAATTGTAAAGATAAAATTATTCTTGCTAAAGTTTGTATCTCTCGAAAAATTCCGGACTTTAATTTAACACATCTGTGTCTCAATCTCCTTTCTTTTGTTATATTTAAATTGTTATATCAAAGTTAAATTATTCTATAAGATTTCTAACATTATTACTTTGATGAACTTGTATTTATACGGAATTAAGATTTTAATGTATTTTGTGAATTTATTTTTACACTTTTATTTTTTATAATATATAAAACAAAGTGAAAATATTAGAGTTCAGGGGTAATTAGGCCAACGTAACGTTTAGTTGTGTACTTAATAAAAGTCCCAAGTCTAGTGAGGTAGAACATTTTTACTTAACCACGTCATAGTTTTCCTTTACCGGATATACTTATTAAAAATGGCGTGCGATAACCATTTTTAACATGATATTTAATTTTTATCCAATATTTTTAATGCTGAGCAAAAATAGTCATTATTCTATTAAAATTAATACGAAAATACGTTTTTACCCGACCTTCCCTATGTAAGCCACAAGCATGGAACTTTAGTCATATCAGCTGGTGATTAGTTCCTTTTTTTTTCTTCCTAATAAGTACTCCTATTTCTTATTTAACTTGTATACGCTAACAACGTCATAACTAATCTCTTATTGTAGCTTCTCATGCCCATAACTAATTTCTCTTATTGTTGAAAATATACATGTAAATTATCTTTCACGTGAGTTGATAGTGTAACTTTTTCATTTACATGTTAAAAAGTTAAAACTTTCTCGTTTCTCTAGTTGGGTTATTCATTCATTGGAAATGTAACGTAGATATGAAACAATTACCGAGATCTGTCTCTTCTTCAGTTTTTCTTCAGCTTTTGAAGATTCTATAATGATGAATTATTGAACAACTTCTTTTACTTTCATCTAGTAACTAGTAATTGTTTATAACTAAAATTTCACCAATATATGTAGTTTCTTAAAGATTTTGAATATTATAAAAAATCATATAAAAAGTAATAAACAAATGTGAGAATCTTACATGAAATGTTAGAGTTTTTACCACTTCTCTTATTTTATTCTGACCAAAATTTTCTTGCCTTAATTTCCAAATTGGTCCTCTCGATTGTGTGTTATTTGAGTCACATATTTCCCCTAATTGTAGGAGTGAATACTACAGCAAACTAGTTAAGTATTTCTGTAAATATGACTAGGAACTGTCCTTGCTTCCTGCTCTAAGCAATGATGCAATAATATGAGTAACATACGATGATAGGCATAATTAGTAAATCTTTAACAACCCCAAAACTAGTTTAAATGATCTCTTTCAATCTGCTTAAGTTCTGATGGAGAAAAATTATTCGATCAACTGTACTTGTGGAAAGTAACACATACCTAATAAAACAACATGTTCTAATATAGAATAATATCCAAATGCCTTGAATTACATAGGTACTACCAATAGAATTTTCCAGGTCGTTATTGGCTAACCTCAAGCCAAAATATGTCCTCATATGGATTGAGCTAGCAATTAAAAAACCTAGCTAGACGCTTTCTGTGAGAACACCTTAACAATCAAAATCCAGCCATAAACTTCAATGTACTCCCAAATTTCATCACTTTTTTCTACTACTTTACATTTAAGATTAATTTTTTTTTAAAAGTAGAAGACTAATGACCCGTTTGTCCATAGATTATTTTTTCAAAAACGTGGTCGTCTATGAAATTTTGCTAGTTTTTTATGATTTTTTAAAATTCAAAAACTTTCAGCAAAACTTTTTTCGACACTCACAAACATGTAATATTTTTTCAAATAAAATACAACATAATTTTAAATACTATTTTTCAACTTAACTCTAATTTATTTTTAAAAAAATAGTACTACAATATTTATGTCCAAACGCCTACTAAAATAGATGTTAGCAAATTTTGGAGGAGCAACATGTTTACAGGAAGCTCATAAAGTCTAAGGCCTATTTGATGCTTCTACTGTCCCATCACTTCTAACAAACATTAATAGTCCATAGGATACTATAACATAGGCTTCCATTTCAGTGAAAAGAAAACTCTACATATTGTGTAGGAAACTCCAGAGAGTACACTATTGGAACAACAAGAGAAAATGAAACAAATTAGAGTTATAGACCTATACCCCTTTCCTATAGGGTCAAAAGAATAGGGGGCGTAGAAATTCAAAAAGTTAAAAATTGGTCAAAGTGATTTGGGCAATGATAGGGGGTCTGTAACATCTGAATGTTGGGTCCATTCTGTTCACAGTTTCTCATGTTTTTTGTTAGAAGAGAATGGAATGGTACAAAGAAAGGGGCCCTGATAGATAAGGGTGGTCATCAGTTTTACTTGTAATAATGTGAGGTGATAAATAGAAACAAATGCCACCTAAGAAAGTTCGTACACAAATGCGGTAGACCTAAATATAGATGAAATGATATTGTATAGTCGATCAACTAAAAATATTTTTTTGGCTTCAAATTGAGGGCGGAGGGCTGGTCGTAAAATTATTTTTTTGAATATTTATGACACAGTGATCTAAGTTTAAACTATCTAAAAGAGGGAGCAATGTTTTTCTTGTTAGTACTATTTTTATTTTTATATTTTGCTCTTTGTTATTCGTTTTACTAGATGAACTTGTGGTCTATGTTACCCCTGCAGAGCAAGCCGCCAAAGAGTGAAAAAATGGAAGAAAAGGAAAGAAGAGGTAAGAAGCCTTTGCCAATTGCCAGCTGCAGAGTTGAAAAAGCCTGCAGGCTATGTATTGGAAGTATGACAAAGATGAGACATTACTCTATTTTGAATCTCTTCTTAGCTTAAGTCTCATTCATTAGATAACATCATCTCACACCTCACATAACACACAGGGTATTAGGCATGTCCCTCCAAAGTGTCTTTTGGTCCCAACTCATTTTTTCATGTGCAAAAAAGATAAAGAGGCAATTAATAGGGATGTTTGCTTTTCAAGCCTCTAGCAGACATGTCAATCATTGGGAACTTGAATCAAATGGAGTAGATGTTGTGGTTGCCGTTAAAATTTCTACTCCCCTAATCCCAGCATCTCGTGACTGACCGCCACTTACCTCCCTACAAACACCTACAAAATCATATTCAGAATTTAAATTTTTTATTCAATTTTTAAATTTTTATAATATTAAACTCGGTATTGTTAAAATTAATAGTTTTATATTTGTTAACTATTGTAATGTAAGTGAATTTTTTTAACATAAATTTATTCTCCGGATCAACAGTACATAAGTCAGATGAATCTAGTAACGTAAAGCTGCATCTGCCCATAAAGCATAGGTTTAACATGCAAAGAAATATTTCTTGTAAATGATCTGAGCAAAAAGTACAATAACGAATTAGAACAAGCAGAACTTTCGGATTCGATCAAGTAGATGTATTCGATTGAACTCTTGTATACATTATAAGTAATCGCCTAAAAGATAGTAATAATATAAGTAGAAGCAGAAATCTTAGATCCAATACGCGTATGCACCTTATATCTCTGAAATTTCTTTTACCAAGCTTTACCTATACGATGTAAACTAAGAGTCCACCAAACTGTATAGATAACCTGGTTCTCTATTAGTTCATACAGAACACACACAGTAGTAAGTAAATAGCATAACAATAGTTTACGTGGAAAACTCTCAGTTCACAGGATTAAAAACCACGACCTACATTCGTAAGATTTCAACTTCACTGACCGAGCAATTTTAGATTACAACTTATTGTAACCTAGGAATTAAACTCTTAATCCCTCGCTTACTTACAATAACTCTATTGCAAGTCTCTCTTTAATAACTCTATTACAAAGCTCACCACTTTGACTAACTCTAGCCAAACACAAACATACGATTTATGGATTACAAGATATCCTACAAGATGCTTGATGGTAGGCTATAACTATGTATTTTGGCCACTATTTGCACTCTAAATTATTGCACTTTACTGATGTTTGAGCGTTAAAAGGTAGTAAATTGCTCTGATTGAGTACTTTATGCTTTACAAGAGCAATTTCGGGCTACAATGAGGTTAGGGACCATTTTTTGAGCTGATATGGAGCGTTGAAGGCCAAGTAAAAGCTTATGGAATAAATTGAAAATTCGTTCGAGGATCAAAGGAGGTTAGCGCACTTAGAAAGAAGAACGAAGAGGAGTGCAAAAAATTGCCCAGGTACGCGGCCGCGCACTGGGCCGTGCAAGTCAAGCAGAAACTGGCCAAAGTGCATGGCCAGATGCGCGGTCATATGCGCAGGTGCACGGCCGCGCATGTCCTTCCGAGAAAAAATATTTCAGGGCTAAAATTATAATTTCGGAGGCGACTTCACTTGACCTATATGAAGCCCAACTCGTCCAAAAAGAGGGTATCTTGGTTTTTAGAAGAACTTTGAAGGCAAGAACATGCAAGGAGCAAGAAGGAAGATTCGAAAATGAGTTTTTATCTTTCTTCTTCCCTTTTTTCTAGTATTGGTGATGATTCTTATATTGTGGTTGTGAAAACAATTATGAGCAGCTAAACTCCGTATTCTAAGGTTTGATGGAACCTCTTGAAGGATGAATTTTTGTTGCGTTTAATATAAATTTGCCATTGGATTTTCTCTACTTGTTCAACTACGTGATTATTGTGGTTGATTGAAGGGCCCTCAATCGGTTATGCCTATATAGTGTGTATTACTTGGAAAATGGTACATATTTAGGTAGTTATTGAACAACGTCACTCCTAACGTATTTGAGGGATTAATACGAAGGGTTTAAATGTGAGATTAGGAATAACAAAATCTTGGTGCGATCTTAGTGAGCGGTAAACTAGTGCTAGCTAGTATAGTTCGAAAGAATACGTGTAGTAAATTATTGTATTTGCTCGGAAGAGAATTACGACATCTAAAGTATTCATGATCGGTAGAG